AAGTTCATCCAAATCACACAAACATCTTGCAGTTACTTAGTTCACTATTTGGGTTAATTGTAGAGTTTTGAAAATAATAAAATAAAAATAAAATAAAATATCCATAAAATATGTCACTGAGTCAGGGGTTGTCAGTTTACTAAATTACAGAAAAGGGGTCCCTTAAGAAAAAAGGTTGGGATCCACTGTGGTATAGCATGGAGCATGAGTTATCTTTTCCTTACATTTTTAAAAATAATTTATTTGCTTCATTGTCCACAAAGGCAAGTGAGCCTAGACGATGGACAACCTTAGGAATGCTGTATGGGCACGGATGTTATGGTTTTTATATTGCTGTAAAATCCTTGTATTAGCTCTGAGCTAACAGAAATATGTATACAAAACTCTCTCCTCCCTGGTGATGTACATTTGAGAAGGATAAACCACTGGCATGGCATAGTTGCATTGTCTCCAAAAGTGATGACAAACTGCATCTTTAATAGCTGTGAGTCTGGAGCCCTGGAAATGAATTGAAATACCTCAGAGTTTACCAACAGCCTAAGTGATGGATGGAATAGCTTTTTAGACATAATTTCTGAGTAGTTTCATGTTGTGTCCTCTCAGATAATATTTGGACAGAACTGAAAGCCTTGAATGGCTGTAATCAGCTTCTTGTCCATTTGCATTTGCCAGGTGGAGCTGTTGCCTAAGTGCGGATATCAGAATCCCATCCACAGCTCTCATGCAAATGTAGCTGATGTTTTGTTGACCATACACACATCAGTGGAGTTTTACCGTTATTTCTGTGGCTCGTAACTTCATGGTTTTGTTACTGGGAGTTGATATGGCTGATAATCAGCTGTCCATATGCATGATAGAACAGTTATCACATGTATACATCAGTGGCTGTGCCAAGAAGCTCCCCCACCCATACGGCACCTAGCTGACCACAGCCGCCCCTTACTTCATCCAGCTTAAGTGGACTCTGATAAAGTTGCTCTTTGATGCATTAATAAACTCTTCCTCCCTACTGGGCTGTGGGGGCCAACTTCCGAACAGCACCAAGCACATCCTCGCCTGACATGCACTCTTTAATTATTTCTTTCTATGAGTGTTGGAGCGAAACGAGGGGAAGAGGAAAGTGATGACATACTTCTAATGAATCCTTGAATAAATAATACTGCTGTCTAAGCTTAAGGCATCCTCAACCAGCCTTACTGGGAGAGAGTTGGAGTGCAGAGGAAGCAGAGAGAGTGTAAAATGATGGAGAAAAGAGAAATACGGATGTAGGAAACTCATCTGGAACAACAGTGACCTCTATTGTACGAGATTCCACCGCAACCTGTTTCCATCACCAGCCATTTGAATCTTCTAGCTTCATTCTCAGTGGTGATCCCGCTAGTTTTCCAGATCTTCGTAATGAAACACCATCAAACTATCACACTACCAACCTGCATGGTGGTAGATTTTTTTCCACCAGCAGTATAATCAGCAACTTGGTTGCAGAGAAATTCTCTGGTCTGATGAGACAAAGATCGAACTCTTTGGCGTGAATGCCAAGCGTTATGTTTGGAGGACACCAGGCACCGCTCATCACCTGGCCAATACCATCCCTACAGTGAAGCATGGTGGTGGCAGCATCATGCTGTGGGGATGTTTTTCAGCGGCAGAAACTGGGAGACTAGTCATGATTGAGGGAAAGATGAATGCAGCAATGTACAGAGACATCCTGGAAGAAAACCTGCTCCCGAGCGCTCCTGACCTCAGACTGGGGCGACGGTTCATATTTCAACAGGACAACGACCCTAAGCACACAGCCAAGATATCAAGGAGTGGCTTCAGGACAACTCTGTGAATGTCCTAGAGTGGCCCAGCCAGAGCCCAGACTTGAATCCCATTAAACATCTCTGGAGGGATCTGAAAATGGCTGTGCACCAACGCTCCCCATCCAACCTGATGGAGCTCGAGAGGTTCTGTAAAGAGGAATGGGCGAAACTAGCCAAAGATAGGTGTGCCAAGCTTGTGGCTTCATATTCCAAAAGACTTTAATTGCTGCCAAAGGTGCCACAACAAAGTATTGAGCAAAGGCTGTGAATACTTTTGTACATATTATATTTTCGTTCTTTATTTCTAATAAATTTGCAAACATTTTAAAAAACCTTTTTTCATGTTGTCATTATGGGGTATTGTGTGTAGACTTTTGAGGAAAAAAATGAATCCATTTTGGAATAAGGCTGTTACATAATGAAATGTGGAAAACTTTCCGTATGCACTGTATGTTTCCTCAGAGGATGTGCGAGCTTGTAGCTTTCACAATAAAAGAAAATACTGGTGTCTGATTAGGCTTAATAATATTTAACTGATTTAAATGTTGAAAAGACTGCGCGGACACTTTCTAATTTCTTCAAAAAAACAACACATTTTCGTACACCCGCAAATGTATATAAATATATATAACTGGGTGCAGGACTCTGATCTACAGTGTTTCTTAAACAATGAACGGTACTTAGTACAGTACTTTTAAATTGTTTTTAAAATCTGTTAAATCAGTATTATTATTCAAAATGTGGATGTTACTTTTTGAAAATCTGAAGATAGGGCCCTGAATATGCTCAAAGCTACTGTTGCTATATTCTCCATCTATGCCATGTGCACAATTTAATTAGATTTTTATTTGGTCTTTAAATGCGTGTTTGTTCTGTACATATTCTGTTCCAGAAAGAATGATTCACCTGCAGCAGCTGGATGTTTTCACTCTCCTGTATGTGTACAGTATGTCAGCGTGTTTGAGAGTGTGTGTGTGGCTCCAACTGTCCTTCACAGTGGCCATTTCTCCACTTATCAGAGGCAGTGTGAGATTGAGGGCCATCACCCACACTCTGTTGCCATAGTGAAGGCAGACGGAGGGCAGCTTGAGTGACAGCTGATCCCACTACACAGATTTTCTCCTCCTTCGTGCTTCTTGATGGCCCACTTTCTTACCTCTTACATGGCGGTTCAGTCACTGACACATGTAACTGATCGCCTGTGTATATTTCAGGTCAGCACACCGGGTAGAAGACTCTGCAGTATGGCTTTGTCAAAGAAAATCCACTCACCAATCGGCAACTACGCTAAATGGATGACACTGGCCCAAATCTGGTTGCCTAGGGCAACTGTTGAGCCCCCAATGATTCTGTCGAACTATTGATCGATTCACCAATAGTTCACACAGCTGAGTTTCAAAACGTGAGCAGTAGGGTCTTTTAAGTAACTGAAACACAAATGAGATGAGTATAATCATGTATTGATTGTGATGACATCAGAACATTACAGTTCCATCATTATGATAAGCAGATCACAATATGATTAGGGACAGTAAGATAGATTTAGGAATGAATTAATGAAAATAAAATTAGAAATGAATAATTCATTGAAAATGGTACATGTATTTATTAATATCCTTTCCATAAAGGTCCAGTGTGTAGCATTAAGCAGCACCTTGTGGTGCCGTTGCAGATAGCAACTCTCTCGCTTCACCCTCCCAATCTATTAAAGCAGTAAAGGACCAGTGTGTAGGATTTAGTGTCATCTACTGGTGAAGTTGCAAACTGCAACCATTTGAATACAGCTTGCCTGCCAAGTGTGTAGGAGAAACTATTGTGGTAATGAAACTGCAAAAAAACATCAATCTAGAGCCAGTGTTTGGTTTATCTGTGCTGGGCTAGTGTAGAAACATGGCGGTTCAACACGGTCCACCCCGTAGAGGAGGAACTGCTCCCTCTGTAGATAAAAACAGCTCATTCTAAGATATCAAAAACACAACGATTCTTATATTCAGTTAATTATACACTAATGAAAACATACCTATGAATATTATATTTCATTTCTGCCAGTAGATCCTCCTAAATGTTACACATTGCACCTTTAAAACTACATTATCCTACAGAATTATTTAATGCAAATGAATTATAGATAACATTGTTTGAATAAACATGGTCTTGTTTATGACACAAGAACACAGCTTTGAGTTTGATGGAGATTTTTTGTTTGATGGTTTGTTTGGTAAGGGTATGGTTGAGTGTTCAGGTGACGGGCATTTAAACATATTTAGAGCTGAAACAATTTGTCGACTGACAGAAAATCATGAATATTTTAGCCCCTTTATTCATTCTTTTATTGTGAAATTCTAAATGTCTGACCATGTCTGAAGGCTCGGCTTGCTCGTCGTATCCCCTACCAAAAAAGTTAAACCGGATGTTTGGAAATACTTTGGATTCCAAACTGAAAAAGAATTAGTTGAAGTGTGTATCTGTGATATCGAAACGCGTTCTTAAACAATTGAAGGTAATTCCAGTTCCAGTGTGTTTTTTGTGTCATTTTAACATTTTTAAGCATATGTTGATGATTATTGTGTATCAAAATTATTTTGGGCAGGAAAATTGTGATCTGAAATTTTCCAATGCCTAGTTCTAGCCACTCAAATTTCCCAAACTCCCTGATTTTCTTATCAAAATTGAATATATTTTAATTTAGAAATGTCTTTAGAAGGGAATTTTTCCTTTCCTTTTTATTTATTTAAAAAAAATATATGTACATATATTATGAAGTGATATTAAAAACAGATCATTATCTAGTCTTTTGTTTTTGTTAGAAATTTGGAAAAATTGCCAAACCATCAAAATAATTAAGAACAAAGAAAACAAAATTAAAAAAATGTATATTGACTTTCATTGTTATCCAATAATGGCCAACCAATACTCAGAAAAAGAAAGCACTGTCATTTGTTTTCATTTATTTTAACTATAAAAACAATATTTTTTGTATTGTATTTTACTTTATTTCTTGTTTGGATCTTTATTGAAATGGGCATCATAATTTTTCCATAAAAACATGACATATGACTTATCCAAAACCTTTATTATTACAGGATAGTTCCTGCAGTTATTACAGATTTGTGTTTGATGAGTATATTGCTCTATATATGTGCTATATGTGTTAACCCCTGTTTATCCTCCCCCTCCCTCATTTTGTTTGCTCAGATCGGGCAGCTGGTCTTCAAGGGGATGAAGCGTCTGAACAGGATCCAGTCCTTGGTGTTTGAGACGGCCTACAACACCAACGAAAACCTCCTCATCTGCGCTCCAACTGGCGCCGGCAAGACCAACATCGCCATGCTGACAGTCCTTCACGAGATCCGCCAGCATCTGCAGCCCGGCGGCGTCATCAAGAAGGATGAATTCAAGGTCTGATTCTGACACACACAAAGTACAAAGTAAAGACCCTTATTGCAGTTTGATTACATATTAGACTGCTTGTTTGTAGGAAGCCTTTTACCTGTACTCACTGTAATGTGTTGGTCTAGTTGTCATGCAAGATCACAGTTGGAATTTAAAAGAATTTCTGTGTAATGTTCATGAATGTTTCCAGTGTCACTCCACCACAGTCACTCAACATGCCTCATAGAGATTAAGCGTGCTCCTTGCTGAGACTCACACGCCCCATGCAGAGATTCAGATCTGATCCCTGGAGCTTTGGGTGTTTGTATTTCAGGCAGCATTTAAATGGCTTTCTGATAGTTTTAAGTCAAGGACTGCTGGATTTACTTGATTATGTTTCCTCCGAGAGGCTTTTGCTGATTTGTGCAGTGCTTTTTTGCCATTTAACCTCAGAGGTGATCTATACCAGTATTTTTTTATGTGACTATAAAATGATCTAAACTAAGCATTCAAACATTAGATAAAAATGCTAAACACTAACTCTTTAAAGCTGCGGTAGGTAACTTTTATAAAAATAACTTTTCGCCATATTTGCTGAAACCTTCACTATATCCTGACAGTAGTATAGATAATCTGTGAAAAAATCTGGTTATGTTTGACCTACTGTAAAAACACTTGAGGCTACTTACCTAAAACAGTAAAGGTTTCCCATTACAAAGAGAAATGAAAGGTTTTCAATTATATAATCTACATAGATCAATTTGTTACCAATGTTTACCAATCTTTCTGCCTACCTTTATGCTCCTACCTAAAGTACAAACAGTATGTTCTTGTCTACAGTAATAGATGTCCTGTGCTGGCCAGCCCTGGCATTAATGGCTCACCACTGACTAAGATAAAACCTGACCCATTCCTGATTTGTTGCAGTTACACCAGCTACGATGAATGCCTCTTAAAACACCAGAACTGCTAAACTGCTGGAGTAGATATTCGATTCAGATTGAACATTACTGTGGAACTGTGCCTTTTTCTCACTTAATTTGACTCCTAATTGTTTTCTCACACAGTTAACCTCTAATTACTTTGTCACAGTTGTACTGTATGACTGAAGGATTTCCGTGCTTTTTTTTAAATTAGTAAATCACTTTGGGTCACCTTGTTAGTGTGTTGTGTTGTTGAAGTAGGTCTGTAGGAGTGTTTTGACATATATGTCATACTGTAGAGATAATGTGTTTACTGTTCTTATTATACTGTGCAGCCGGTACAGCTTTGAAATCACACATTAGAAGTCACACATTATACATCTCTTCTGGGAAAAAGTCACTGAAGTGGAATATGGAACTGTTAAATCGATTTATTCGCATTACTTCACTGCAAATGTAACGTGTGTCGGAGCTCGTTCTCTGGTCAGAAATGTAAAGATGAAGAAGTGTCTTTCTTCCACCATTACTGCTGAAGTCATCTGCTACGTTGGCTGGAGTTGTCTGTGTGACTGTGGGGAAAGACAGGTCTGCCCCACGTCACTGGCCTACTGGCTAGCTAGCTACTCCTCTAGGTGCTTGTAGAGCTTCTCAACTCTGGAAAGTAAGGGCTAATTTTTATTTCCCCATAATTTCTTTTCTAAAAATGCCAATATTCAAAATCTTGCAGTTGATTCTCGCTTGAAAAATGATCAGAAGTGAATTTAGTAATGAAATTCACTAAAAACCTCCCATTGTGAGCCTGACAGTTTGTTGTTTGTTGTGTTGTTCTGGTGCTTTGCATTTTGGGACACTATAAGCATGGTAGACTGGTCCAATGCATACTGGAGATTCTTTCAGAATCAGTGCGACATCCGGGTATTTTGGGCATATGCACATTGGGCTTTTGTTTGCATGCTGCATACTACATGCTACATTTTGGCCAAATCGGTGCGTACTGCTATTATTATAGGTGCTTTTCACTACAGCCTTACTGTATACCCTCCTAAGGTCTTTGGTGATTGGGATTGTGGCTGCTTCAGACACTTACCACAAAACTGATTGAGAAATTAAGTTTTGCAGGGCTTTGATGGAGAGCTGCCTTACCTGCAGTACCTACGTTTCAGCCTGCCTCCCTCCATGACTACCCTCCTTCCACTCACGCTACAAATTTTGACTGATTTTACTTTGTGTGTCTGTCTTTTCATCAGGTTTATTTATGAATACTTGATTTAGAAAACTAGCTGATGAAAGTGGCCAAAATTAAATACAGCAACAATGAGAAAACAGAGTCTCTATTGGCAGCTTAGTCTAAAAATATTGGTTCATGTCTTCATAAACCCATAGTGTCACACTCACACTCGGATAAATAATTCAGACATCCAAAAGGCTTTGTTCTCTTTCATGAAGGCTTACACACACACACACACACACACACACACACACACACACACACACACACACACACACACACACACACACACACACACTCTCTCGCGCGCGCGCAAACACACTGTGCCCGGTGCCAGCCACTGAAGATAGACACTTTTTATACATGAAACCATTAAACTTTACCCATACAAGTAGCTGGCATCATATTTCTCAATAAATTGTGATTTGTGCTGGTTGCCAGGGAACAAATGATCCCGCCTCTGTTTGCTCATTTATCACCACAGTGTCCTTCCAGTCCCCCCCCCCACCAACCCATCTTCTACCTTCCTCATTCAACCCCTATCTGTTCTCTATCCTATTCATTTCTATGTCTCCCTCTTTCTCTCTCTCTGTAGGTAGTATATGTGGCTCCTATGAAGGCCCTGGCAGCTGAGATGACTAATTACTTCAGTAAGCGTTTGGAGCCACTGGGCATCGCTGTTAAAGAACTCACTGGAGACATGCAGCTAACCAAAGGAGAGATCCTGCGAACACAGGTACACACACACACACACACACACACACACACACACACACACACTGAGTTCTATGTCACGTCTCCAAAAAATAGTTCAAACTAAGGGTACAAAAAGCAGTCCTTCCTCCATGTTCCCTCTGCTACTCAGTTACAGTATGTTCTCTAGCACCCCCAAGTGGATTGGATTTTGACATTTATTGGAAGCCATTCCATAATCCTTTTTCCAGAATGCACCAGTCACAATTCTGCTAATTACTAGTTGCAAATGTAACTTAACTAGATGTCTAATTTAACTGTTATCAACTGTGAATGTACAGTTTATTTTATAGAGAACAAATGCTGCTATAAACATTCCAGTGTCTGCTGGTCCTGTTCTGGCTTCATAGGTGAAAGCTTGCTGTTCAAAAGACCACCATAAATGGAATTCCAGTGTTCTTGCTTGAACAATGGTTCCAGTCCACTTAAAATGACACATATAAATGGAGCTGTACTTGTATAGCGCCTTTCTAGTCTTCCGACCACTCAAAGCGCTTTTACACTACGTGCCACATTCACCCTTTCACACACATTCACTCAGTGATGGCAAAGTCCATCGAACAGAAACTAACTCATTCATACACATTCACACACCGATGCACGGCATCAGGAGCAATTTGGGGTTCAGTATCTTGCTCAAGGATACTTCGACATGTGGCACCAGGAGCCGGGGATTGAACCCACCACCTTCCGATTAAGGAACGACCAGCTCTGCCTCTGACGACGGTCAGTAGGAAGCAATGGGCTACAACAACATGAAATTATCAACAAATGCAAGGTGTTGTGGGTTTAAAAATACCGTGCAGCAGATTACAAGTAAACCACAGATATCCAAAGGGTTTAGCAATGGTTAAATTGAATAATTATTTTTTACAATAATTTAACAACCAGAAAAAATAAGCGGTGTCAAATGGTGCTCACAGATCCAGCATGCTCAGGTAGAGTTACAAACACACTGTTCCTTACTTTTGTTTTTTCTAGCTGACCACAGCCGATCATTATCTGGCTATGGTGGTCTGGTTTGTTGTGAAAAGACCTACAGAGTGGCTCTGCTAGCACCACAACATAGTCCAGATGCTAATGATAATCCAGGGACAGATACTGACAAATACTCAGTCATCCAGCCAGGGTCACAAAGGTTCTGGGGTCGGCTGTCAAATATTTCTCTAGTGACTTCTTTATTGGTGTGCTCATGTCTGCAGTTGATAATGAATTAGAAGTTAGATTATTGAGCAAGGTTGTGCACTATAATGAGTCATCTGTTTTCCCATGAAACCTTTTCTATTTCTTTCCCTCCACATACAGTTGTCATATTCCCTCCTGTTATTGTTTCCTCAGTTTTCCTTTCCAGACAAATGGTATGTCCCCGAAGGCCCTGTTATTGTGGCTCCACATAATATTATGGATATAAGGCAGTTTAATTGATGAGAAATTAATTGCATGATCAATAATTCACTGGAAAACCTTTAAATAAATATATTCCTCTTGATAGTCTGTTTCCTATTGTTGTTGGATTTTTTCAGCTTGCGGCTTTGTGCACTGTTTCCTCTGAATAGAACCATGAGTTTCACCACACCCACCAGCGAATCACAAATCGTAAAAATCCATCTTAAAATGTTTTTTATTTTAATTTATTTATAAAGTTGAAAGACTTTGAAAAAGTTTTCAGTCACAGGTATTTCTAAAGAGTGTTTTGACAAGACTGGCAAGTCGTTCCTGACTCATTTTTTTTTTCACCACTGTATTATCATCAATACTGTAATATGCTTTCTGACATAGTTATAAAAATATATAATTATATATAACATAGTTATGAAAGCCACAAAAGCCATTAGAGTGATCCCTGTGAACTACAATCATCCCTCTGCATCTACTCCACAAACCAATGGGTGACATCATGATAGGTTTACATTTGGTTTATATCAAGCCTCCAGGAATAATACTGGGCTTTGAAGCCAATTTCACACAGTGGCCAAACCATGTAATTACAGCACTAGTATTTATCCAGGTCATTCCTGTGCAGTGGAAGTGGCTTTTTTTGGCTTCATGTGCCACTGAGCAGCTTTCATAGGAATGAATGGAGCACTGGCTCCAACACTGTATCTAGTTCTCTTTATATATCCATGGTTTATATCATCGGGTTAAGCAAAAAACTTTTCAGTTCTGCTGCAGTTTAGTGGGTCAGACTGAGTCCACAGTCTGACCAATACTGGATTTTCTATAAGCCAATACAAATATTTAAAGGTCCAGTGGGTAACATTGAGGGGGATCTATTGTCAGAAATGGAATATAATATTGTATGGTATGTTTTCATTAGTGTATAATCACCTGAAATATGCCGATGTAAACTAAATCTTCATATACAGTTACAATAATGGCAAAGGTCAAAGGTGTGCAGTGGTTGATATGAAGAGAGCAGGTTTGAGGCCTTCACTTGCTGTGAACAACAGAGATGACAAAAGGATGATATAAAAATGTATAGAAACTGCTGTTTATTAAATATTTTTTGTTAAATATGATGATGATGATGATAATGATGATGATGGAAATATTTCCAGAATATTGAACATTGAAGTGGCCCTCCTTTGAGGTGACAGTATCAGCGGTGGCCCCAAGACAGTTTCAGTTTGAGAACCCTGCTTTAGAATAAGCTGTTTTTATCTACAGATGGAGCACGTCCTCTCTACTATACTGAACCGCCATGTTTCTTCACTGTCCTGGCTCTGTCTCGGGTATGTTCATCTCTCTTTTGTGTCCCATGGAAAGAGTTTCTGTCCCATGGAAAGAGTTTCTGTCCGTGTTATTTGGTTGTGGTTTCTCTATTTGCAGTGTTTTTTTCTAAATGCCTCTCATGTGTTGTCAAATTGGTGAAGATGTTTTCTTAATTTGCTCGTGTTTTATCTATTTGCATGTGTTTTCTTAAGCTGTAGTGCATTGAGCTCTCAGGTACATTGTAAATGAACCTATAATAAGTAATTGAACAATTACATAAGGGATTTGTTATACATGGCAATGATCCTACAGAAAGGATTCCACTATGTGGAATGTTTTCAAAATATTCTCTTAGACTTAGGAATTCCCTACCACTCTTTAACATCATACCCTTTTTGTTAAGGAGGCAAAGTGCTGACAATAATTTTGTCAATGAGAAAATTAGCCAATTATGTTCAGTTGTTGAGTTCAGTCAATGAGATGTTTTATTTCTGAGTAATCAATGGCTCGTTCAAGTATTTAAGCACTGTGCAGCAGATGAAGTACGTTTTAGTTTTTTTGTGGGGTTTTACTGATGGAACATTTGAAGTGAACCTCAGATATCCCCCTCATGCAGGAGTTTCCTTCTGTGTTGTCGAGAGAGGATGGATTTATTACAATGAGGCCAAAGAAAAGGGGATGAAAGCTGCGGGTTGAGCTTATATTTAGTGAGAGAACCTGGCTCCTCCAGCTCAGAGGGAAGCAGAGGTTGGTAGATCCAGCCTGAAAGACTGAACTATGAGACTGAGAAGGTTGGGAAAACATGCATATCTGTTAAATCCATAAGAGTTGAATTTGAGAGATTGCACTGCTTAGAGTTAAAGTTATAAGCCTTGCGGGACTTATGAATACAGAAAAGGTTGGGGTTTGGTGCGTGTAGGGGTGCTGGCGGTGGGAGGTGGGCTTATTATTCCTATGAAATGAGGCCAATTCCAGTTAATCTGAAGGTGTATTAAAGTTGCATTTCTATCAGGTCATGTGAAAAGATTTCACAAAGAGAATAATTAGTCAGATTGACTACAGCTCTGCAGCACTCCCTCTTTCTCTATCTCACTTAGCCTCATTCACTGTCTCTTTCTCATCCCTCCATTTGTGTCAGTGCATTTACACAAAGTGGCCGAGTGAAAAGGACTGTTCAAGTTTAACAGGCCGAAGTGATGCCACACACTGTAACCTTGGTTGTCTTCTGTCTCTTGTCAAGGTCCTCACTGCTTCTTTCATCATGCCCTTTTGATGTAGATGTCTGAGTGACGGTTCTGGCAGGACGTTAACCACTTGCAACATGTACAAAGAAGGGAAAGTAGTCATAAAGCATCAAAACTCTAGCAAAACTATGTAGAATTAAGAATGTTTGTTAGACATGTTTGGTGCTGCGGCCTTCATTAGGGTCCAGTGGCATCTAGTAGTCCCCTTCCAAGCGTATAGGGGAAATTATGGTGGCTGTGAAAAACACAACCTTTGCCACACACAGTGTTTGGTGTGTCCGTTCTGGGATACTGTAGAAACATGGGGGTTCAACATGGCAGCCTCCGTAGAAGAGAGTAAAAAGGTCTCATTTTAAGAACAAAAACACAACAATTCTTATTTTCAGATGATTATACACTAATGGAAACATATCTATGAATATTATATTCTATTTCTGACAGTTGATCTCAACAGTTAGGTTATGTGAATAAAAATACCATTCATATTCTTAATAGAGGATTATGATTATTAGCCTTAATGTTGTAACCATCCAAGCTAGACTTACCACAAGACCTTGTCCATATGATAGCAACATGTGCAACATGTGTATTATATACACAGTGTTACAGTTACAATTTTTTTTGTCAAATCTTTTTTCACTGAATAAATGTGGGGATTACACAAAATGCAAACTCACAAATTGTGTCAAGCTATTTATTCATGCAATGACAAGATTACTAATTGTTTGAAGGAGAGTCTCATTTTAAAAGAGCATGTTTGATTTGAATCACAGCTGATACAGGAGGCTAGGAGCTAAGAATCATAATAAATCAGTTAATGTCAGTTTGTTTGTTTCACATTGTCAGTGTATTACCTTCAGTGGACAGTGCCCCTGATTTGTACTGCTGTGGATGCAGAAAGAAATGCGCTGCCATCCCAGTTTGATATCAAATTCTGTCAAACACATAAATTTAGGTTCATTAAAAAAAATACTGTGTAGAAAGCTGGAACTTAACACACATATTTTAATCCACCACCCTCTGGGCT